CATGAGTTTGAGTAAACTCCGGGAGTTGGTGATGGACAGGGAGGCCTGGCATGCTGCAGTTCATGGGGTCGAAAAGAGTTGGACACGACTGAGCAACTGAACTGAACAGAACTGCAACGCAGGAGACGAGGGTTCAATCTCTGGGTGGGAAATATCCCCTGGAGAAGGAAATGGTAATCCACTCCAGTATTCTTGCCTGGAAAATCCCATGGACAGAGGAGCTTGGCCATGAGGATCATAAACAGTCAGACATGACTGAGCATATGATGGATATTATAGGAATTCTTTTTTTTTTCTTACTTTTTTTTTTTGCTCAGCTTTATAGTTTTGAGCTCTATGTAGCTGATACATGAGGGCTAATTCATTTCTTTTAATTGTTATTTTGTATAGCATCGTAGGAATATATCACAATTTATGCATCTCTCTTGCCCATATATCTTCATTTTTTTAACTGAAATCATAGTACATATTACTTTGTAACATCTGTTTTTAACTTATTTTATTTGGCTGCACTGGGTCTTAGTTGCAGCATGTCGGATCTAGTTCCCTGACCAGGAATCGAACCCAGGCCCCCTCCATTGGGAGCACAGAGTCTTAGCCGCTGGATCACCAGGGAAGTGCCTATAGGAATTCTTAAGCAAAGGAACAGGTACTGACAGTGAGATATTAGAGATTGATCTAGGCAGTTCCAGCCCCACGCCTGTACCAGCCCCTTGGTAGATCCTGGGAGGGGCCTTGGGCCCTGGGAACACCCAGAGTCCCAGAGACCAGATCTAGAAGGAACAGGAAGTGCAGGAAAAAAGAGTTCAGTCTTCCCTTCCTCGGAGAGGGGTCCATTTGCTATCTGCATCCAACAGAAAACAAAAGCTTCCTGGGACTTCCCCAGCAGTCCCGAGGTTAAGCCTCCTTGCTTCCAGGGATCTCTGGTCAGGGAACTAAGATCTCACATGTCCTGTGTGTGCTTAGTCACCTCAGTCCTACAGTGTGACTCAAAAAAAAAAAAGCAGAGTTCTGGTTTTGTTCCCTGCAGTGTTGCTGGGACCCAAAATGGTGTCTGGCCCAACATGTTGTTTAATGACTAAAACAAACACTGCGGAAGGGCCTGGAAAGAAAGATTTTTCCTTTTGCCTCTCTCTATGGCTCCTTTGTTGCAGTTGATTAGTCCCTAAGTCATGTCTTTGGGTCTTGAGCAACCCCATGGACTGGGCCCGCCAGGTTCCTCTGTCCATAGGATTTCCCAGGCAAGAATACTGGACTAGGTAGCCATTTCCTTCTCTAGGGGATCTTCCCAACCTAGGGAATCGAACCTGCATCTCCTGCATTGGCAGGCAGGTTCTTTACTACTGAGCCAGCTTTGGAAGCCTTATGGAAGGGATATCTCTTCTTTTCACAGGTGGGCAGGGTCAGATAATCTCCCTGTGAGCTAAACAAAGGCACTGTAGTTTAACAGGACTTCCCTTGTGGCTCAGCTGGTAAAGAATCTGCCTGCAATGAGGAAGACCTGGTTTCCATCCGTGAGTTGGGAAGATCCCCTGGAGAAGGGAAAGGCTACCCACTCTAGTATTCCTGACTGGAAAATACCATGAATGGAGGAGCCTCGCAGACTACAATACATGGGGTTGCAAAGAGTCAGACACGACTGAGCCACTTCACTTCGCTTTGCTTTAGTTTAACAGTCAGGAAGAGGGGCAGGGTCCTCTGTGACAGGCTATTATGTATGATTATAGTAACAGCAATGAACAGCAAGTCAAAAGAAACAGTTCCAACATAGAGTCAGATATGGTATTCTCTGCAACAGGATGGCAGGCAACACTGCCTGACCACAACGGTCTCACAGTCCTAACAAGCCGGGATTACATCCTCATTTATGTAGATGAAGAAACAGAGGCCCAGCAAAGGAAGGTGACCTGTCCAAGACCCTAAGTTGTCAGACACCTGACTGCAGTTCTCCGGGCTCCGCCTCCAGGGATCTCCCCAGGGTACCACAGCAACCAAGACTGGAAAGCAAACCGGCCCATCAAAAGCATCTACTCAGAGGAGCGTGGATGTGCTTCAGTAAGCAAGAAGAATGAGTTTTTCTCTTTCCCTTTCCTGAGAAGGAAGAAGATAGAGAACAGTGAGCAGCCCGAACATTCCTGGTTGGTTTTCCACTTTCTGTACTCGGTCACTTCAATCACGCCCCACTCTTTGCGACCCCATGGACTGTAGCCGTGGACTCTGTCCACGGGATTCTCCAGGCAAGAATACTGGGGGGGGTTGCCAATTCTTTCTCCAGGGGAGTCTTCCAGATCGGACCCGAGTCTCCAGCGTCTCCTGCATTGCAAGCAGATTCTTCACTGAGCCGTCAGGGAAGCCCTGTTTTTTTAACTGCTCCTAACTCTGCATGTCTATACCTAAGCTTGCTTTTCTGCTTCCTAACTCTGTAGGAGCTACAGTTCATACCTATTTTTCCTTTGACTCTATGCTAAATACACCCAGTATCTGGTGTTTATTCTTACAACACCCTTCCCTTTGTAGTTACATATCAGAAAGAAGGTCGCAAAGCCAGACTCAATTATTGAATTACTGACAGCCAGTCTATGACTATCTTTGAAACAATGCAAGAGGAAGAAATCAAGATCCTAATACCTTTGTCCCTCATCACCGGCTCCTGACTGTGAGTCCTATCTTATATAAGCCCCGAGACTCATCATGAAGCGGGGGAACCGTTCTTGAGGCATTAGCCCACTGTATTCCCCTCTCCACTGGATGAGAATTAAAGCCACCTTTCTATTTCCTCTGAACTCTGTCTCTGTAATTTTTATTCTGCTTCAGTAGGCAGAGAAAGCCAAGATTTTGGCCAGCAACAGATGCATGTATCTCAGTATGACCAAAACGACCAGAGGAGATCACAGGTATCAGGGTAAAGATTGTGGATGTAGCAAAAATGCGTGCCTACCCAGGCAACCCATGGGATTGCAGAGGGACTTGGAGGTGGGCCTTTGATTCTGGCTTCTAAAAGTAAAGTCATTCAGTCGTGTCTGACTCTTTGCGACCCCATGGACTGTAGCCTACCAGGATCCTCTGTCCATGGGATTTTCCAGGCAAGAGTACTGGAGTGGGTTACCATTTCCTTCTCCAGGGGATCTTCCCGACCCAGGGATCAAACTCGGGTCTCCCTCATTGCAGACAGACGCTTTACCGTCTGAGCCATCAGGAAGCCCTTCTAAGGCGGAAACAAAGAATCTTAGGAGAAAGCTAGGGCTTTCTCCAAGAGGAGAAAGAACTTCGAAATTTGCCATAAAACCAACATCCAGAGAGGGCCTACTCTGTGGGCTCTTTCATATTTACTGTTTTCATGAGCAAAGCAACCCTACAAAACAGGTGGTGTTCTTCCCATTTTACAGATGGACACACATCTGTAAAAGCCTCAGAGAGGTCAAGTAACTTGTCCAAAGTCACGTGGACGGTGAACCTGGGAAGACAACCTAGAACGGACTCCAAAGTCAACATAATGGTTAAATAGTTGTGAATAGAGAGCGGTCCAAGAAGTTTCTTTTTTTCATATATACACTTTTTTTTTTTGGCAGCGCAGAGCCTGGCATGCAGGGAATCCTAGTTCTCCAACCAGGGATGGAACCTGTGCTCCCTGCAGTGAAAGCCTGAAGTCTTAACTTCTGGACAGCCAGGGAAGTAGCCATAAAGGTTTCTTAAAGAAAGTAAACCATTAGCTACGCCTTATGGGGGTGGACAGGATTCCCTGGTGGCTCAGACGGTAAAAGCATCTGTTTGCAATGCAAGAGACCCAGGTTCGATCCCTGGGTTGGGAAGATCCCCTGGAGAAGGAAATGGCAACCCACTCCAGTATTCTTGCCTGGAAAATTTCCATGGATGGAGGAACCTCGTAGGCCACAGTCCATTGGGTCGCAAAGAGTCAGACACGACTGAACGATTTCACTTCACTTCACTTCATGGGACCTTACTACCCTGTGGCTCAGACGGTAAAGCGTCTGCCTGCAATGCAGGGAGACCCGGCTTCGATCTCTGGGTCGGGAAGATCCGCTGGAGAAGGAAATGGCAACCCACTCCAGTACTCTTGCCTGGAGAATTCCATGGACTGAGGAGCCTGGTGGGCTACAGTCCATGGAGCCGAAAAAGAGTCAGACACGACTGAGCGACTCCACTTTTCAGTTTCACTTTCATGGTGAACAGAATGGAATGGGTGGACAGAATGATAGCTGGAGAAGTAAGGGTCAGGGAAGGCCATTTGGCAAAGTCCAGAGCCTTGAGCAAAGGCCATCAAATTTTTTTTTTTTCCATCAGATTTCTTAAAGCTGGAGATTTGTAGGTCAAAGGCATTAGGAGGGAGCGGGTGAACCCCAGAGGCACTGACCGCCCTGGGGTGAGTGGCGGACTGGGCGGAGCGGGGCTGGGCAGGGGCAGTCCTAGATGGAGGGGGCGGGGCGCTTAGCCCCGCCCTCGCCCGCGGACTCTGCACTGCGGGCTCGAGGCCCCGCCCCCGTCCCGCCCCCACCTGCCGTCGGAACCTTCCCACCCAGGGCCAACGCTGGCCCCGCCCCTCCCTTCCGGGTTCCATCCCTCACTTCCGGGCCGAGGCCCAGGCCAGCCGCCGGTTCGGCTTGGTAAAACCCAAGGGAAGCCGGTCCGTGCTGCAGTCCGTGGGGTCCGCAAAGAGTCGGACACGACAGAGCGACTGAACTAACTGAACTGGGGAAACCTGCGAGTCTCTGTTCCTCCCGATGCCACGGCCCTTCTCCATCTGTTGCCACCAGAATTCTCGTCCTGAATCAGCGCAGGCCTGGTGTCGGCCGCATCCGGGCCACGCCCCCTCGCCGGGGCCACTCCCCGATCACGCCCCTTCCCAGTTTGGCGCTCTCAGACCTGCCCGCTGGCTCTGTCCCTTAGGCCCCGCCCTTTAGGCCCCGCCCTATCTGTCCTCTATCCCGAACGGCTCCTGCGGCCCCATCCTTCGTCTCAGCTGGGCTCCGGGAACTGCAACCATGGCCGTCACCGCTGAGGGCGCCCGCAGGAAGGAGCGCGTCCTCTGCCTGTTTGACGTGGACGGGACCCTCACGCCGGCTCGCCAGGTAGGACCCCACTCGTTTAGAAGATCCCGTCGGGGGTGTAACGCGGACACCCAGAAGCCGAATGAGTGACTTGCAGCGGCGTGATCCCAGACAACCCGGGACGGTGCGTGGGCTGCCGCAACACCGGCTCCTGACACCCCAGGCTGCCCGCTGGAAATGGGCCCTCCTGATTCCCCACGTCACAGCCCCCGCCCCCCCTCCCCCCCGCCGAGCATCCACGCCCACGTTCTCTGCATGGGTGAGAGGGGGATGGGTCGGATTCCGGGGGGAAGAAGCTGCAAGCAGCGGCCTAATCCCCTCCCCCGCCAGGTCTGCCTCGGCAACCCCCCCCCCCCCCCGCCCCCGTCTCCCTAGCCTTGGTTCCCACTCCCAGTTCAGCCCTAGGTTACACCAGTAGCCCAGAGCTGGCGTCTGAACCTTGGGTTTCCATACAGGGCAGCGCACCTAAGCGTTAAGAGTCCCGATCGGTGGGCGCAAGGGGGGTCTCGGAGCCATCCCTTTGCAAAATCAGGCTGGCCTGCATTTAGTTTCTCAAGCCCCTTCCCTTTCTCTCCCACCTCCATTCTCCTCCTCTTCCAAGGAGTGAGGACTTATGTACCATTCAGGCTGAGTTTGGGGGCTTCTTCCTCCTGGAGGTGAGGAGTCGGGGGCTGGTCTGGTCTCCCTGGGGATGTTGTGGTACAGGGTGGGTGGGAGTGCGGTTTTCTTTCTAAAAGCATCTCTCCGGGTTGATGCTCCAACCTCTGCTCCACACCAAGTTTTTCTCCCTTTGGATCTAACTCAGGATGAGACCCCCCCACCCCCAACCCCAGCTGGGTGCATGGATAAGCAGGCCTCTTTCTTGCCCTCCAGTCTGGGTCCGCCAGGACCTATTGAGGGATCTCTTAGAGCAGGAGCCACTAGGTCTGGGTGGCAAGGCAGGGGCTTAGCATCCCCTCCCCTGAATGAGGGCCCTGGGGGCACAGGAAGCAATCTGGCCACCTTGCCTTCCCACGGCTCTCAGGCCTGAACAAGACTAGAGTGTCAATGCTGTCCATCCACCTAGATCTGTCCATAGTACATTTTAAGTTAATTTTTAATTGTACACATATTCACAAACACATTCTCTTGTAAAGAATGAAAACGTAACCGAGAAGGGTAAAGTCCCTTCTGACTAGTCAGGATTGTGGCCCAGCCCGATCCCCAAAGTCGAATTTGTGTGTGTGTGTGTTTGTTTTTAGCAACTGGTATCATACTGTGTGTGCCCATCTGCAATTTGCTTTAAAAAAAAATATTCAATATCATAATTTTTTTAAATAATTAATTTGGCTGCACCAGGTCTTAGTTGCAGTACATGGAATCTTCGATCTTCACTGCAGCATACAGGATCTGGTTCCTTGAACCCGGAATCAAACCTGGGCCGCCTGCATTGGGAGCTCAGTGTCTTACCCCCTGGGCCACCAGGGAAGTTCCTGCAACTTGCTTGTAACCATTAACAGCGTGTTTTGGCGCTCTCTCATGTTGGAAACACAATTCTGCCTTATTCTGTGCAAGCACAGTATAGAATTTCAGAGCAGCTGTGTGCCATTCTCCAATTGATTAGGTTATTTGTAGTTTTTCACTGTTATAAACCATCCCAGTGAACATATACACCTGGGCAATTCTGGGTGACAGAGTCCTGGCATGTAAAGTTTTACTAGATCGTGCCAGATTACCCTCCAAGTGGCTATACCAATTTACACTCTGACCAGCAACATCTGAGTGCATTTCTCCTATGTCCACCCTAGATAGTGTCAGCTTTGAGTAACAAGGACTGAAACTTATTAGTTTACGTTTCCTTGGAGGGACATTTTTTCAAGTGATTAGTCGCTAGTTGTTTTTGTTTTATTTATTTTTTTTTTAATTTTCACTGTGCTGGGTCTTCCTTGCTGTGAGTGAGGGCTTCCTCTGGTTGCAGAGAGCAGGGGTACTCTTCCTTGCAGGTGCTTGGGCTTCTCTTTGTGGGGCCTTCTCTTGTTGTGAACACACGCCCTTGGGCTTCAGTAGTTGCAGGTCCCTGGCCCTAGAGCACAGGCTCAGTAGTTGTGGCTCAATGGCTTAGTTGCTCCATGGCATATAGGATATTCCTGGATCAGGGAACGAACCTCCGTCTCCTACATTGGCAGGTAGATCCTCTGCCCCTGAGCCACCAGGGAAGCCCCAGCTGCTAGTTGTTTTTCCAAGCACTGTCTCATTTAATCCTCAACAGTGACCCTCTCCAGGTTCTACTGTGATCCCCATTTTATAGATGGGACAACTAAGGCAAAGGTAAAGCCATTTGCTCAGGTCATCCTGATATTGAGGAACTTGAACCAGAGTTTGAACCCAAGCGCTTCTAATTTGGAGATCTGGGTTCTGAACCCTGACTGGCCCCAGATCTGGGTGGAACATGGGCTCCCAGGACTCTGAGCCCTGAGTGAGGGCTGGGCGGAGGGCCCGGACGTGCCGATGAAACCTGTGCTTCCCTGCCCCCTGCAGAAAATCGACCCAGAGGTGGCTGCCTTCTTGCAAAAGTTGCGAAGTAGGGTACAGATTGGTGTGGTGGGCGGCTCTGACTACTCGAAAATTGCTGAGCAGCTGGGAGAGGGGGATGAAGGTAAGAGGAGAGGCCAGAACCAATTCCACAGTTCGGTGGTGGGGGTGGAGGGTGTGGGGAGTTTGGGAGACCCCTGGAGCAATGCGCCTTCAAAGACCCAGTCCTGCTTCTACGGGGCAAAGGAAGCAGAGTGAACAGGCAGGTGTTTGCTCCGGGGATTTAACAAACATTTGCTGAACACCTACTATGTGCCAGGCCTCCCTGGTGGCTCAGAAGATAAAGAATCTGCCTGCAATGTGGGAGACCTGGATTCAATCCCTGGGTCAGAAAGATCCCCTGGGGAAGGGAATGGTATTCTTGCCTGGAGAATTCCATGGACAGAGGATCCTGGTAGGCTGCAGTCTGTGGGGTGGCAAAAAGTCGGACACAACTGAGTGACGAACACCTCAACACTTACTATATGCCAGGCACTGTGCTGACTTTGAGAAACAGCAGGGAACAAAGCAGACAGAATCTAGCCCTTACATAGTTTCCTTTCTCAGTTCTCCCTGCTGAGTTTTTATTTCCTCATCTTTAAAATGGGCCTAATCAGTAACAGCTACCACAGGTTGAAAATGACCTTGTATTAACTTCCTTTCATTTAATCCTCACAACTATGCTTTAGGGTGGGTATGATTATCTCATTTAACAGAGGAGGATTCTAAAATCATCCTGGCAGTTCTGTGGACCTAGAGACTTCCTCGACTTTTCCCCACGGGTGAAAGTGTTAGTTGCTCAGTCGTGTCCGACTCTTTATGACCCCACAGACTGTAGCCCACCTGGCTCCTCTGTCCATGGAATTCTCTAGGCGAACATACTGGAGTAGGTTGCCATTTCCTTCTTCAGGGCGTCTTCCTGACCCAGGTATTGAACCTGGGTCTGCTGCATTGCAGGTGAATTCTTTACCATCTGAGCCATCAGGGAAGCCCCCTTTCCCCAACCCCTTGTCTATTTTATCAGCAAGTCCAAAAATGTCTCCCCGTGTCCAGGTCTCCTGTATCCACGTCTCTGTCACCCCACCATCATCCAGGTGGTCTCCCCTTACCTGGCCCCGCAGCAGCCTCCTGACTGTGGTTCAGCCACTTCTTGGTGGCAGTCAGAGTCAAAAACCGCCCCCGTGCAGCCAGCCTCGATGGCACAGTGATGGAAGTTGTAAAACAAAAGTTCCTGTACCAAGGGCCTATGGGAATGCAGGGCAGAAATGATGTCCTCTGCCAGGAAGTCCTGGGGGACTTCCAGAGGGGGGAACTGGATCTTGGAGAAGTGAAGGGGGAGGGCATCCCAGGCAGAAGGAGCTGCAGGAGGGAAGGCCCAGGGGTGTGCTGGGCTTGTGTGCATCTTTGGAAAAAAACCAGGTTGCGAAGGCGAGGAGGCTGGAAAAACAGGTTGGGGATGGGACAAGGGTGCTTTGAATGCCAAACCAGGAGTGTGGGTTTCACCTCTCTCCTTGGCTCTGGGTATCTGGTCTCACACTCTGTCTTTCCCCCTGGCTTCTACGTGGACCTGAAGTTATCGAGAAGTTTGATTATGTGTTTGCTGAGAACGGGACGGTGCAGTATAAGCATGGACGGCTGCTCTCCAAGCAGGTCAGTCCCCCTGCCTCTCCCCCTGGGTCTTGGGACGCTTTTCCACAGTGGAACAGTCCCTGGGTGCCTTCTGTCCTGGGGGAGGGGCCCCGTGCCCACCACCCTCAGAGCCCTGTGTCCCTTGCCCAGACCATCCAGAACCACCTGGGGGAAGAGCTCCTGCAGGACTTGATCAACTTCTGCCTCCACTACATGGCCCTCCTTAGACTGCCCAAGAAGCGGTGAGAGCCCGCCCCTCCTGGGCACTCCCCCGGCGGGAGGGTGGTAGGCACAGGGTTTCGCAGATGGGCCCTGACTTGTCCAGGGGTGGATGCGTGTCCCCCGTGAAGTCCCAGTGGGACTAGATTTGAATTCAGGGTCCTTCTCCTTCTCTCTGGCTCCCCCTCCCCGCTCCTCCACCCACCCCCTCGCCCCCAGTGGGACCTTCATCGAGTTCCGGAACGGCATGCTGAACATCTCGCCTATCGGCCGGAGTTGCACCCTGGAGGAGCGAATCGAGTTCTCCGAACTGGACAAGGTGCCACCACCCACTGTCAGCCATAGTCTTTAGGACCTCAGTCACTCGACCTCTCTGAGCCTTTATTTTCTCTTCCGTGAAAAGGATTGGTGGTGGCAGGCTGTTCTGATTTGACCGGTACCCTTTTGGACACCTGCTCTGTGCCACTGTTGTTGGCACTTCTGTGTCTTCCTAGCACTGCTGGCTCGGTGACCGCCCTTGGCAACCAGCACCACCAGCTTACTCACCTGAGGCAACACCTGGGGCATCCCTTCCACCTTCCCACCCCCATAGAGACCAACAGTAATTCCTGGGGTTTCAACCTCCCATCTGTTCTCCATCAGCGCCGCTGAGAACCTTCTGAAGCACATCTGGCTGCCCTGCTTAACAGTCCTTCCATGGGCCCGCTGGCCAACCTCCCATGGTCTCTGGAGCCCTGAGGGGTCTGCCTGGCTCAGACACCGTCTCCCTGTGCGTCTGTCTCTGGAACACACCGAGATCCCTGTCACCTTTGGGTGCACTGCCCCTGCTGACCTTGACTTGGATTTTGCTCATCACTCCTTGCCCTCAGCTCTCAGGAATGGAGGCTGTCCCCCAGGCCTTTTCATATCAGCCCATCTCTGACCTTCCCACTGGCTGCCCTTTTTCAACTATATTTATTGGCTGCCTCGGGTCTTACTCCCAACATGTGGGATCTAGTTCCCTGACTGGGGGTGGCACCCACGTCCCCTGCATTGCAAGGTGCATTGTCAGCCTGGATCGCCAGGGAAGTGCCCTGACCTGCCCTTCTGCTCTCCCCTTTGCTGTCTCTGCCGCAGCCATGTCCTCCCTGCTAATTCTAGAGACAACAGACTAACCTCCTACTTCCCGGCTGTGTCTTCTCACCTCCATCACATCTGCTCAAGTGTCACCTCTGTGTCACCTTCCCTAAGCATGGCACTTAACCCAGCACCCCCTTGTACTTCCTCCTACTTCTTCCCAAGCAGCCTTCACCACCCACTAATCCAGTGCATCACCTATTTTTAAATCTTGATTATCTGTCTCCTTCACCAAAGCTATAAGCTCCTTAAGGGCTGGGATTCCTGTGGCTGTTGGCTGCTAGATCCATGGGCCCAGCATATGCCTGACAAAAGTGCTCGAGACATACTTTTTGAATGAAATAGATGATGTTATCCCCATTTTATGAATGAAGAAATTGAGGCTCAGAGAGAGGAAGTGACTTGCCCAAGGTTATGTAGGGAATGAGTTGCAGCCTAAAGATTTGAACTTGGGCTTCTGGTCGCTTCCTTCTGATGTTTCTCAGAGACTGGGTGGGACTTGGTGACAACTCCCAGCTTATCCAGCTGGGATAAGGGCCCCATCTCTGCCCTGGGCCCCAAGGCCCACAGGCAGTGCCTGCAGGCATGGAGACTTCCTTGTTGGAGTGGGTGATTAACCTCTGGCCAAGAACCTCCTCCCACACACATATTGAGAGGTGGCCCTTTCTCAGGCCACCCAGGTTTCCCATCCCAGCTCCACCTCCTACTTGCCCAGCAACCTGGAAAAATGGCTTCTCTGCTGCATGCCTCTGTTTTCTCACCTATAAAGTGGGGATGATCACAGTTCCCATCTCATGAGATGGAACAGGCTGACTCTTCCCACAGCCCCCAGGGTCTTCTCTTGTGTTTTGGGTCTGGTTCTGCCCTCTTCTGATACTGGAGAGGGACATGAACCTTCTGATCTGTGTGCCTTTCACCAACACAGATCTAATACTAATGTTTTACTTTTCTTCAGCCCCTCAGACCCTGAGGACAGGTAGTCTGCCTCCTTAGCTGAGAACACTGAGGCCAGAGAGCACGTGAGCCAGCTGGAGGACACAGTGCTGGTCTCTGCCAAGGCTGGACTTGGCACGTGGAGCTGTCTGGTGGCCAGCCTGGTTCTCTGGAGACAGACAGTGCAGCTGCCCTGGACCATTTACTCTGGGCTTGGGGCACCCTTAGCTCTAACACTGGAGCCACAGAGTGGCCTCTGATAGGGGCTGGCCTCCCTGGGAAGCCAAGGCTTTCTGGGAAGGTTATACCCTCATCTCTGCTCCCATGAGAGGCCGTCAGGGGTCATTCAATACACCTCTTATCCTTAAGCCCAGGAAATTGACTCAGAGTCACGGCCAGGAGGCACAGCAGCTGGGCCTGGGACCTGGGCAGCCTGCCTTTATCTCTCATGTGCTCCCTGAACCACATTTTCAGGCTCCAAACCACTGGCTGCCGCCTGCCTCTCCCCCCTTTCTAGTCCTACCTATCACTGACTGCCTACAGTGCAGACCTGGGCGCCTTAACCCCCATACTCTGAACTCCTCAGCAGCTCTTGTTTCCCTGGGATGTGTCCAAGCTCCCTAGCCTGGCTTCCAGGCCCTTTGTGAGGTGATCATCCTGCCGAGCTCTCGAGGTGGCCAGATGGGGACCGCCCGCCTCGGTGCCTCGGCCACAGCGAGCCTGTTGTCTGCTCCCGCGGCCATGGCCCCCATCAGCTCAGCAGCTAAGGTGCTCCCCTCCAGGCCCACTGTGGCTGTTCCCCTCTGTAGCCCCAGCAAGGCCAGGCTGGGGAATCCCTGGGCTGGTGAGTGAATGTCCCCTTCTTGGCGGTCGTAGATATACTGCAGACTTCCAAGGTCCCGCCCAGAGGGGTAGGGGCGAGGGACTTCTGGGTACCACTGTGTCCCCTGGGGCCGGGAGCACGTGGGAGGTGCTCAGTGAAGGCACATTGCTGCGTGGTAAGTGCTGTGATCGTCCCCGCCTCCTGCTGACTTCTTTGCCCGCTGCCACTTCCCACATAGCTAAGTCGGTAAAGAATCTGCCTACAATGTGGGAGACCTTGGTTTGATCCCTGGGTCAGGATGATCCCCTGGAGAAGGGAATGGCAACCCACTCCAGTATTCTTGCCTGGAGGATCCCATGGACAGAGGAACCTGGCAGGCTACAGCCCATGCGGTCACAAAGAGTCGGACACGACTGAGCCTCTAAACCACCAGTGCCACTTACTCACAGGTCTCTGCATGCTCTTGGCTCTTCACTCTGAGCCGTGGCTGGGCTGGGCAGAGCTGACAGGGCTGAGCTCCGCCCCGAGGTGGACGCTGTGACTCAGGACTCAGACTGTCCCATCCCCTCAGCCTTCCTCCTTGCCTCTGCTCCAGTACCTCCTTCAGGCTATCCTGCCCGAATTCTGCTAGCACACCTGGCCCTGCGCTGAGGCTGGGTGACCCTGAACAAGGCATCGGCCCTCTCTGAGCCTCAGTTTCCTCATCTGTAAAGTGGGGGTCATGACCTCCACCAGGCAGACTCAGTGAGCTCACAGGCACTGTCTGCCCAGCCCAGGGCCCAGCACACACGGCCCCCTGAACCTCACTCTGCTCCCTCCCCTTCTGCAGAAGGAGAAGATCCGGGAGAAGTTCGTGGAAGCCCTGAAAACCGAGTTTGCCGGCAAAGGACTGAGATTCTCTCGTGGTACGTCCACCCCGTGGAGGGCCTGAGAGGTCTGCCACGCAAGCCCACCCCAGGGCCTCATTGCCAAGGCCAGGCTGCACCCCGAGCAGCTTCAGAAACCCTTCCCAGTCCCCTAGATGCAGCAAGGGCAGGCTGAGCCCACACAGGCAGGGACCCCAGCCCCCAAAGTTTCCCCTAAACCCAGGGAACCCTTACCGCCACCTCCCCCTATAGTCCATTCCCTACAGTGGTGAGAGGGAGCCTTATGGACATACAGCCCCTGTCACACCCCTGCTTAGAGCCCTTCCAAGGCTCCTTTTGTCTCCTAATGAAACCCGCCCCCTGCACCCCAGGCCCTGCACACCCCTTCTCTGCCCTGAGGATTGTATGGCTCCCGGGCAGCTGCCACTCTGGCTGAGGTCTCAGCTCGGTGTCACCTTCTTGGAGAGCTGTCCCCAGACCACACCAGCTGGGGAGCTTCCCTACCCCTCCACCCCTGACCCCTGCCATTGACTTACACGAGCTGAGAGGTGGTCTGGTCACTTCCCACGCTTCCTCCCACCTGGATTGTAACCCTGTGAGGATCCTGAGCCTGCCCATGCCCTACGCCTGCTGCTCAGTAGGCAGTTAGGCATTGCTGAAGTGAATGAACGAAGGAATGGAGGGCCTTGCCCAAGGCCCCAAGAGCCGCCTCTCTGCTTACCTTGTCTACCCCCTCCCCCGCAGGAGGCATGATCAGCTTTGATGTCTTCCCCGAGGGCTGGGACAAGCGCTACTGCCTGGACAGCCTGGACCGGGACTGCTTCGACACCATCCATTTCTTTGGGAATGAGACTGGCCCTGTGAGTGCGCCTCAGGCTCGGCACAGGTCCTCCTACCCGCCCGGATCAGGGCCAGGACATGGGATGATGGGACAGACCCCTTGGAAAACTCCCAGAAAGTAGTCGGTGTTCACCAGCCCCATTATACAGATTGGAAGGCTGGGACCCAGAGCTGGCCGGACACTTGCCCCATGTCACACAGCAAGTCAGGGCCGATATAGTGAAGAAGGTGGGCCTCCTGGCAGTTCTGAGGAGGGCCAGGGGAACAGTGTGGGGAGGGGACCCCAGGCCAGGGTGGGCATTGGGCCCTAAACCTGGGAGCCTCCTCCAAGCACCACGTGTGTACACCTGCCTTCACTGCCCTTCCTCCATGTGCAGGGCGGGAACGACTTTGAGATCTACACTGACCCCCGGACAGTCGGCCACAGCGTGGTGTCGCCGCAGGACACGGTACAACGATGCCGCGAGCTCTTTTTCCCAGAGACAGCCCACGAGGCGTGACCAGGGCCCACACCTGCCCCCTCAGGACTTCCAGGGAGCTCTGCCCACGCCTGAGAGAGCCCCTGGCCCTGGCGTTGGGGGGTGCCGAGGCGCCTCCTCTGGCCCAGGACCCCTGCCTCGTGTTAGCTACTGAAGGCCCAGCTCTGTGGGCCCGGGGTCTGTGTGGATGGCCACCCGCAGCCGGTCAGCTCCTGGTGGGCCTGGCTTCCGTCCTCCAGCCTGATCCGATGGCCCTGGCTGCAGCTGCTGCCCGGATTCTTGGCAGAATAGGTTTCTGTCTACGCGGGACGAGTGTGCAAGTGTTGGTACAAGATAGAGCCTGCCCTGCCTGCCTGCCTGCCCTCCGTGGGGTGCAGAGCAGTGGGGACCATGCACATTCGTGAGAACTTTATCTCATGGATATTAAACCCTGTGGAGCGCGATATGAAGTCCGAGTGGCTAATTGGCCCAGTCACAGACACTGTTCCAGCCTCCCACTTGGCAGATGAGAACGACGCATGTGGCAGGGACTTGGCCCAGGTCACATAGGAGGTACAGTGCAGTCCAGGAGGGTGGGCCACTGAACCCCAAACAAGAGCTGTTTGGGGTGTTCTCCCCCAGCCCCTGCCCCTGGGACCCAGACAGACAGGCAGCTGTGGGCCAGGCTGAGTCACAGTTGAGGGTTTATTGCCAGTGTCAGGAAGGATGGGGGATCCAGGAGGCTGGTGGGGGTCTCAGGAGGTCTGACTGGACACTGTGGGGCCACGAGTGGGGCAGCCCAGGGTTGGCGTTACCACAGTCTGCCTCCTGGTTGGTGCCTAAGAGGGGTGGCCTACCCCTGGTGGTGGTGGGGGTGTCTTGGGGCTTCCCAGGAGTTAACCTGCACCAGTAAACCTTCCGCCAAGGAAGCCAGGGGGCCTTGTTCCTCAGGGGAAAGGCTTCAGGCCTTGCTTGAGTAGGCCCAGCTCAAACTGGGGCCATTCTGAGTTTTAGGGCGCTGGCTAGTGCATCCTAAAAGCTCTGGTCTTCCACCCTCAGGACAGGGATGGGGTACACATAGCTTCAGGGCCGGGATCCTCCTAGACAGTTGCTGACTCCCCATCATGGGCATTTGGGCCCCTCTTTTACTCAGACTGGATCTCCTAAGGGTGATTCCCTGGGAAGCCCTCCCTTGAAGCCCATTTTTTCCCCCATCAGGTGATGTGTTCTCTGGAAGGGAGTGTGATGGTAGGGGGGGCCCCGCTACCCAAAAGTGCACACAAACACGTCCTGGTCAAAGGGGAGGGGGCTACCACACATTTAAGGGATGGACAAGATGGGGACCACACCTCGGCCACTGGCCTGTTGGGGGCCAGCGGGCCTCTACCCCATGGCTTTGGGAACAGGGTCCAGCAAGGGGCCTGCAGGGCTGGTGGTCTCCCGGGCTGAGGACTGTTCTGGCGGGTCCCCCTGCCCGGCCCTGCCTGAGGGGTGTGTGTGTGTCCACCGCTGCGCCCTTGCAGCCGTGAGGGGTGGGCACAGGCCGAGCATCAGTGGGGTTTGTGAGTCAGGGCAAGGGGGTGGCTCTGTCCAGGCCGGGGGAGCTCTGCCCCCAGCCCACTGCAGACCCTTAGCTCCAAGGAGGGCGGAGGCGGCGAGGCTCAGTGTGGCCCAGGGTAGTGGACATGGCCTCAGTTTGGGGTTCACAGCCATCGCCAGGCTGCGGAGGAAGGGCTGGCCAGGAGCTCCCCAAACTGCCTCCTACCTCTCCAGTGTGCTGGGGGGAGAGGAGGAAGGAGCCGGGGCTGGGCCTTGGCAGTGGGGGAGGGGGCTGTCTGCCTCCAGGTTTCACCCTCTTCCCCTGCAGGAGGCCAGGGGGCTCCCCCAAAGCACTCACTGGCCTGGCTTCTGGGGGGTGGGGGGGGGATCCAGGTCCCAAGCAGAGACCCCAGCCCAGAGGGGGAGGTGTGAGTGGCACAGGCAGGGTCTGCCCCTCTGACCCACCCTGCCGGCCAGGCCTGAGGCAGAGGCGAGGGGAGCAAGCTGGTAGGGCAGGGCCCACCGATGCCCTGAGTCCCAGCCCCAGGCCTGACACCGGCCCTCAGAGGCTCGGTGGACCCTGGGACGGGTGTTAGGAGGGGAAGAGGGTCCTGTGCCTATGTGGTGGGGAGGGGAGGGAGGAGAGCGCAGATAAGCAGAGAAGGCAGGTCTGGTGGCTTCCGCCTCGGTCCAGCTCACACGAGGGTCACGGGGTGGATGGAGGCCCACACTCATGTCCACAAGCACAGACAGACAGATGTTCACACCGAGGCCACCCGGGGGACTGGCTCGGCCGGCGCGGGGGGCGCAGGGCTGGCTGCGGCCTGTCTACCCTGTGTGGCTCTCCCCCTCCCCCGGCAGCTGGCACAGGGGCCTCCCAGCCTAGGAGCCCACGACCTGGCCGGACCACGTCTCGTGGGGAGTGTGTGGGGCCAGCTGGGTGAGCACCACCTCCACGGCTTGGAACTTCTGGTTCTTGGGCGGGATCGGGCACACCTTGTAGGTCACCTCGTCGCCTTCCACCGGCACGTACTCCCCCTCGATGCTGGTGGCGGGGAGAGGGGTGTCAGCCCAGGAGAGGCCCCCTCCCTGGACAGCTCCCGTGGTCAGGCCTGAGGGCAGCCTCACCCTGGGCCTCGCTAGGCCAGGTAGCCAGAGCCAGACTCGTAAGAGAGAAATCCACACCGCCCCTCACGATGTTATAACGCAGGGGTCCCCAGCCTCTGGGATCTAATGCTGATGATCTGAGGTGGAGCTGATACAATGATAGAGGCAAAGTACACAATAAACGCAATGTGCTTGAATCATCCCGACACCATCCCTGCCTAGTCCATGGAAAAACTCTTCCATGAAACCAGTCCCTGGTTTCAGAAAGGTTGGGGACTGTTGCTATCACGTGAAGAGTGTGAAAGGACTCAGGGAGGTCCCCAAGGCTCATGGACTCCACAGGCCACGCCTGGCATGAGGGTTGGGATCCAGACCAAGACCACCCCACCTCTCCTAGCCTCCCTCCAGGCTGAAAGGCCCAGGGGCTGGCCCAGCCCTCTCAACTCCCCTGGTGTGGGAACAGGATCCAGGACTCAGGTGGTGGGTCCCAGGGCTTCTGGGGTTCCCCCGTCACCACCTGGCCCCAGCCCTCCATCACCCCTGCCCCTGGAGGCACTAGGAGCGGAAAAAGCTGCCAGGACCACAGACTTCAGCTAGGGAGGGCAGAGGCCTAGGGAGGCATTTTGGAGGCCCTGCTGGGACCCTGTAGCAGGGCCCAGCTGAAAGCGGGGAGCTGGGAGGGACTCACTCAGACACGTGCACAAAGATGTCCTCCGACCCGTTCTCGGGGGTGATGAAGCCGTGGCCCTGGGAGCGTGAGAACTGCTTACAGACGCCCTTGAACACCGGGCCAGCAGAGGCACGGGCTGTCCTAAAGATAGGGTAGGAGGATTGGAAATGTAGCCTGAGCACCCCGCCCCCTGCTTCCCTGGACCCCCACAGCCTTCCTGCACCCTGCCTGCAGAGCCTGCCTAGAAAACCCTCCCCGGCGCAGAAACCACCCATAGTGGGGCTAGTTCAGTCCTCTCACCATCCCATTGGACAATAAGGAGACAGGCCCAGAGAGGGAAACTGGTTCTCGCAGGTGGCCCAGCAAATGGGTCGCCTGACTGCCAGCCAGTTCCCCTCTCTGCACACGGAACCCTCTCCAGCTGAGGCTGGTCTGGCTTATGCGGATTCCTGTTGTAAGACTTCTGAGTGAAGAATGTGCAGCCTAGGCTTGAATACCTCCCACAACAGGGAGCTCAGTCTCTCCCGAAGCAGCAGTCTCCATCCCATTCGCTCATTTGTCATTCATCCCTTCATGCATCATTTATTAAGCCTCTGCTCTGTGCCTGGCCTTGGTGTGGACACAGGGGACAATCAGCACCTCCCATCAGACCCCTCCCTTGGCCAAGCCAAACCAGCTTCCGTGTGGCCCCCACAAGTGAGAGTGTTGGTCACCAGTTAGGCCCGACTATGTGACCCCGTGGACTGTAGCCCACCAGGCTCCTCTGTCCCCGGAATTCTCCAGGTAAGAACACTGGAGTGGGTAGCCATTCCCTTCTCCAGGGGTCTTCCCCACCCAGGGATCAAATCCTGGCCTCCCGTGCTGCAGGCAGGTTCTTTACGTTCGAGACACCAGAGAAGCCCACGTGGCTCACACAAACCCCCTCTTCAGCTTGACCCCATCAGAGACCTAATTCTGAAGGCCCAGGGCTGGTCTCTGTCCAGCCTGCCCACCTCTTTCCAGAGGTCAGCCACATGCCACGGCTCTTGCCCAGGCTGTTTCATCCAGTGGGAGCACCCAGCTTCCCTCCTTCCCTGATACATCTTCCAAAGCCAGCTAGGACATCTTCCCCGAAGCCCGACGCTGGGTCCTCATCGCCAACCCTGCCAGCTGTCACGAACGGTGGACAAACTCCCCCTGGATTATAAGCAGCTTGTGGACTGAGGCGTTGCCTTATTTATCCCTGGATCCCCCGGGGAAGGAGCTCCATACAGCTTTGTAGACTGAATGAACGAATGCTCATAGTTACTAGAAGCTCCTTACACAACTCCCCTGCCCTCGGGTGAGGACAGCAGGGGATGGCGGAGGATGAGGCTGGACAGCCCCAGTTGGAGCCCTGTCCTGGGGAAGATCAGCGGAGCCTGGGCAAGGGGCAGGTACTCACGCTGAATACGTCCTGGTCCGTTTGGTGGGCAGGGGACTGGGCAGATCCCGAGATGAGACACTGCCTCGCTCCCAGACCCTGCTGCCCTCCCGGTGGAAGGGGAAGGTGGGCCAGACAGGGGACTTGGGGGAGTGCAGCGGGGGCACGACCGCAGGCGGCGTAGGCTCCGAAGTCATGGCAGGGCCAGCGGGAGAGCCGGGCGGGCTCCCGGGAGCAGGGGCCGGCGAAGGGTTTGGGCGTCCTGGCGGGCAGGGCCCGGCCTGGCCCTGCTCGGCGGCCTCACCAGCCACAGGCTCCGTCTGGAAGCGGGGAGAGAGAGGTACAGGTGAGTGTGGTCCAGGGTGGGCAGCTTCTGGACACATGTCTGGAGGACTGGGCCTGCCTGCTGCTTCCGACCGTGAGTTCTGGCCACTCACAGCCTCTGCCTGACACAGGGTCCTCACCAGAAAGACTTAGCAACGGTCTTAGAACCTTGCTGCGGGGGAATTCATGTGTTGAAATCTGAAGACCTCAGCATGATGGTATTTGGAGATGGGGGTGTTTGGGAGGTGACTGGGTTTAGATGAGGTAGGGAAGGGGACTTCCCTGGTGGTCTAGTGGCTAAGACTCCTCGCTCCCAATGCAGGAGGCCAGAGTTTGATCCTCGGTCAGGGAAATGGATCCCACGTGCCGCAATTAAAGAGTTCGCATGCCACAACTAAAGATTCCCAGGTGCTGCAACTAAGACCCGGTGCAGCCAAATAAATAAAAAAGTATTTACATGAGGTCAGGAGGATGGGGCCCCCGTTATGGGATTGGTGTCCTTAGAAGGAGAGACCCTTCCCTCCTTCTCACCCCTCCCCAAAAGCTTGCCTCCTGTCCTCTTGCCTTGTGAGGACACAGCCAGCAGGGGGCGTGCGTGCGTGCTAAGTCGCTTCATTGCTATTCCACTCTCGCGACCCCCATGGACTGTAGCCCGCCAGGCTCCTCTGTCCATGGGATTCTCCACGCAAGAATACTGAAGTGGGTTGTCAGTCATTTCCCCCTCCAGGGGATCTTCCTGACCCAGGGATCGAACCTGCATCTCCTGTGTCTCCCGCATTGGCAGGCAGGTTCTGTACTGCTGAGCCACGTGGGAAGCGGTCGCAGGGGGTGGTCTACAAGTTAGGAAGAGAACACTCCCCAGAACCAGACCATGCTGCCACACGGAACTCGGACCTCTAGTCTCCCGAACCAGAAGAACTAAATGTCTCCATGGAGCGCCCCACCCCCCCACGCCGTCTGTGGGGTTTTGTTAATGGTGGGCCAAGCTGAGGGACTAACCGCAAAGTCCTTCCAGCTTGAAGTTCAGTTCTTCAACTTGGGGAGCTAGGAGATGGGATGGGTAAAGTGGCCGATGACCTGGAACACAGTTTGGCATAATTGCCAGCAGTTTCTAATCTACAGACCTGCGTCTGAATCTCAGCTTTGTCACCTGTAACCTGGTGACCTCAAGCAAGCCACTCAATAGTTTCAACATGGCGGGGGGCGGGGGTGGGTGTGGGCTCCAGACCCCAATGACCTGGGTTTGAATCCTCCTCTAACTATTGGCTGTGCAGCCTTGGTCAACACTTATAGCCTTTGACTTGGTTTCCTGTTCTGTAAAATGGGAAGAGCATTGGTTCTTACTTCATAGAGAGGTCGCTGTGAGGATTAGATGACATTCTATGTACTTAGAACAGCACTGGGGCATGGTGAGCTCTTTGTAATGGTGGTGATTTTTCCTTAACCCCAGTTTCTTCCTCTCTAAAAGGAAGTTGAGAATGCTTACCATGCAAAGTGACTATGGCTTCAATGGTTTAGTGTGTGTGTGACGGCATCTGACATCTTGTAGACACCCAATAATTTGCTATTATCAATGCTAATCAATAGAAGTTCCCCTGACAACAGCTCAGTGCCTGGATAAACTTAAAAAAAAAAAATTCATCTTTTTTTTGGCTGCATGCAGGATCTCTCAGGTGCGCAGGCTTAGTTGCCCTGCAGCGCATAGGATTTTAGTTGCCAGACCAGGGATCAAACCTGCATCCCTTGCATTGGAAGGCTTATTCTTAACCACTCGACCACCAGGGAAGTCCCTTGTCCTATATTTTTCTCTGTGGAGGAAGAGAATATAGTCCCCCCATCCATGCACCCAACCACCCTCTGGGTCCCCTTGGATGGGAAACTCTTGGGCTCCAAGAGATGCTAAACTATTTGTTGAGCCTGGAGCAGGTGGTCTGCCACATCGGGGCCAGCAGGATGCCTGGACCAGGAGAGCTCCAGTTTTGCTGCGTGTTAGATGCTGTCTTGGGTAGCACTTCCACCAGCCTCAGCCTCCTCTTGAGAGTCTCATGCACTGCAAGATCAAACCAGTTAATCCTAAAGGAAATCAACCCTGAATATTCATCAGAAAGACTGATGCTGAAGCTGAACTCCAATACTTTGGCCACCTGATGCGAAGAGCCATCCTATTGGAAAAGACCCTGATGTTGGAAAAGATTAAAGGCAAGGGGAGAAGGGGACGACAGAGGATGCGATGGTTGGATGGCATCACCGACTCGATGGACGTGAGTTTGAGCAGACTCCGGGAGATGGTGAAGGACAGGGAAGGCTGGTGTGCTGCAGTGCACCGGGTCACAAAGAGCAGGACATGACTGAATGACTGAACATCAACGGCTTCCTCACCTGTACAGTGGAGCTGAGAAACCTGCCTCACTCCCTCATGGGCTATGGGGAGGCTTGACTAAGCAGGGATATAAAGAGTTGCCCACGGCCCATAACATATAGGAGTGAGGGTCACAGGTTCTCCATCTCCTCACCCCCATTCCTTCACTCCCCCCACCACCCTGGGACCAGAGGTGAATCTCTGAGCTAAGTCTATTTCTGACCTCCATCTCTGCCCCGCCCCCTGCAAACCCGTAGTTTCCAGGGAAGAGTGCAAGACGCCTTCGGACTCCAGAGCCCTGCATGGACTGGAATAGCTGAGGAGTCACCTCCACTCAACTCCCGCCGTTGGAGCAGGTCTCCTGGCCACTGTTCAACGTCCTACAGCAGGTGGGACTTTTCTGGGTCAAGGTGATGAGCTGGCTCTGCCGTCCCTGGGGGTGGAGATGCAGTGTCCCTCCCCCTCAGCAGGCCCCCAACACATCCCATCCTGCCGGGAGAGCTGCTGGGGGCAGGGGGCGGGGGGCGGGGGGCAGGCAGAGGGTCAGAATGGCCCCTCAGCCTCCCTCACGCTGAGGTGCGGCTTTTCTCTCTGAGCCCACTTGAGGAGGCAGGCCGGGGCCAGGTTTGGCATTTTTATCCCCATTTACTTAACTAATTGGATTAATTAAATCAACCCTTAATATTCATTGAAAGGACAGATGCTGAAGCTAAAGCTCCAATACTTTGGCCACCTGATGCAAAGAGCCATCTCATTGGAAAAGACCCTGATGCTGGAAAAGATTGAGGGCGGGAGGAGAAGGGGACAACAGAAGATGAGATGGTTGGATGGCATCACCGACTCGATGGACGTGACTTTGAGCCAGCTCCGGGAGATGGTGATGCACAGGGGAGCCTGGCATCCTGTAGTCTGTGGAGTTGCAAAGAGTCTGACACGATTGAGCAACTGAACAACAACAAACTAATTGATTAACTTTTAAAAGCCAGGTATTGAACCTGCCCCCTTGGCAGTGAAAGAACAGGGTCCTAACCACTGGACCTCCAGGGAATTCACTTGTCCCCATTTTAGAGTGAAGAAAACTGAAGCTTCAAGAAGGAAAGCTATCACACAAAACCTGGCACATGAACTTCCACAGCAGCATTATTCATAAAAGCCCCAAAGTGGAAAGAACCCAAAGGCCCATCCCCAGATAAACAGATGAACATGTGGTTTATGTCTATATGTGGTTCACCATGAAATAGAACATGATTCAGCCATAAAAACAAATGAAGTTTTGATAGAGCTATATGACAGCTGGACTTGAAACCTTGAACCTTGAAGTAATGCTGTTAGGTGGAAGAAGCCAGTCACAAAAGATGGCATATTATCTGATTCCATGTATGTGAAATGTTCAGAAGTGGCAAACCCATGGAGATGGGAAGGTTAGTGGTTCTAGGGGTTGGGAAGGGTGAAGAAAAACAAGGAGTGACATCTAATGCGTTCAGAGTTTCTTTTTGGAGGTGAAGAAAATGTCCTCAAGTTGACTATAGTGATGTTGCATAGCTCTGTAAATACACTAAAAGCCACTGACTTGTCCATCATAAACAGATAAATTATATAAATAATATATATATTATTGAGGAATGATACCTCAATAATGCTATAGGGAAAAGGAAGACAGGCAGCAAAGCTACCCAGGATGACAGCAGAAAAGCAGGAGATGCCCTGGGGCTCACTCCTGCGTGCCCCCTACCCTACCTAGGTGAGGGTAGCAGGTGGCAGGGAGAGAAACTCAGCCTCCCTTTCTCCAGGAAGCAAGGCGGTCCTGGGCTGCCCACTGCACAGTTTTCCCAGGCCTGGTATTGTGCTTGGCAGTGACAGCCTGTGCTGGGAGGTCGTGGGGGGTGGAGGGGGAGGGAAGGAGGTGGGGAGGGGCTGAGGCGGTCCACAGTGGTTGCCAGGGAGATGCAGCTGAGCTGGGCCCTGCTCCAGCCAGCCAGGCCTCCAGACCCAAGACTGAATGAGCCTGGCTCTCAGGTTCCATGCGATGTGGGCAGGGGGGAGGGGTAAGGGGCACTATCCAAGGTAGGGGTGGAGGGCAGCCTCCTCCTTTCCCTCCCGCAGTGGGCCAGGCAGCAGTGGGGAAGCGGAAGGGGTCAGAATAACAGCAGCGACAGACATGTATCCCCTCCAGCTCCCCATCCATCTCCCCACCCACCCAGTGGGGGTTCCTGGGAGAGGGTGGGGAGTTGGCCTTCAGGAAGGAGTTGGGGCTGGGATCTTCCCTCTCTCCTTCCTCTGCTGGAAAATGAGGATTACAAGAGCCCCTCCTCCAAGGGCATCAGTGAGGATGACATGGGATGGAGTGTGGGAAGCAGTGAGTAGGTGCTAGATGAGAGGGTGCTTCTCCCAGGAAGGGTAGCTAAGGTGGGCATAGGGGGAAGAGGGAGTGGATGGAAGGAGAGACCCTGGAGCCAAACCCACCCTTTATTCTCACCTCTCCTGTTTCCCCAAGGACTCGCCCACCCACTAGGT